GATTTTGCATTTTTAAGAGACAGCTTTTGATCAAGAGAGGAGGCTGGGAAGATGGGAAGAGGACCCTAAGCTCACCTCCTCCCATAAATACAAATAGGTAATATTCACATCAGCATAAATAACCCAGAAAATGACCCAAAGACTGGAAGAACAAGTCCCACAACCAAGGGTAGAGAAGAGGCCACATCAAAAGAGTAAGAAGGGCAGAGATGTGGTGCACAGCAAAAGTGACCACAACAGTCTGTGAATGGGGAGGGAGCCTTGGACATGAAGGGGGAAGAGAAACAGACTATCACACCGGGAAACTCACAGGGAGAACATGGATCCCCATAACATTTGGCTTTGAAAGCAAGAGAGTCTGGATTTCAGGAGTTCTTATTACCATCAGCAGTCTTGGTTCTGGGAGAGCCCAGAGGGCCACAGGAAGCTGAGTTCTGCCCTTACAGAGACAGCAGACAAATAGCCCACGGGATTAAAGCATAGAAGCAGCTGTTTGAAAAATGAATAGAGCATACGGCAGAGAGAGCTATTTGCTCATCTTAGAGCATGTCCCAGAGAGGCAGAGATCACAGGAAGGCCCCTCCAGGAACAAAGGAGCTGATCAGTACCATTTCCCACCCCGACCCTAAGCATAAACACAGACCACCTACAGGAACCAGCAGAGTGGCAATGTTCACTACCTAATCTGCATACACCAAGCCCCATCCTTCTGCCCTTCAGCTCTTTCCTGGGACGGGGACTGTGGCTCCCCTCCCACAGAAAACTAGCACAAATCTTGCCAACAATGCATCTCCCAATTAGAGTGCTTTATGGGGCTCAGCCTCAGCAGGAGTGGCAGCTGCTGTAGCAGTGATGGTGGGCACTGCAGAAGCCTAAGTTCACCTTGTGCACCTTGCCCATGCAGTTCTGGTCCCTGAAACAGCAGCTGTAGGTCTCATTTCCCAGGCAAACCAGACCACACCTTATTAAAAGTGTGCACCCTGGCCGAAGACCAAACACTGACCACAACAAAGAAAGCCTCTGCAGACAATTGGATTGAAGGAAAAAGCAGCCAGGACACAACAGCAGAGCACATGCAACATATATAGGAGACTCTCCTTGAAAAACCAGGTTCTAGGGAACAGGGAAACGTCACCACAGGGCATTACAGGACATCTTCTTCATAAGGCCATTACTTCCAAGAGCAAGAGATGTAGCTGACTTTCCTAACAAACAGAAACAGACACATAGAGACAAAATGAGAAGACAGAGGAATATATCCCAAATGAAAGAACAGGCCAAAACCAAAGCAAGAGACCTAAGCAAAATCTACATAATATGCTGAATAAAGAATTTAAAGTAATGATCATAAAGATACTCACTGGACTTGAGAAAAGAGTAGAGGACATCAGTGAGACCCTTAACAAAGAGATGAAAAAGAACCAACCAGACACAAAGAACACAATAAATGAAATTAAAAATACACCTGATGGAATAAATAGCAAGCTAGAGAAAGCAGAGGAACAAATTATTGACATGGAAGACAGAGTAATGGAAAGTAATCAAGTCGAGAAGGGGAGAAGAAAAGAAATTATGCAAAATAAGAATAGACTTAGAGAACACAGTGCCTCCATCAATAATAATAACATTTGAATGATAAGGATTCCAGAAGAGGAAGAGAAAAGGGAAAAGGGGGTAGAAAGTTTGCTTGGAGAAATAATAGCTGAAAACTTCCCTAATCTGGAGAAGGAAACAGGTCTAGATGCAGTGAACACAGAGATTGTCCAACAAAATCAACCCAAGGAGGTCCACACCAAGACATATAGCAATTAAAAAGGCAAAAAGTAGTGAAAAAGAAAGGATTTTTAAAGCAGCAATAGATAAAAAGACAGTTACATCTAAAGAAAAGCCCATAAGGCTATCAGTGGATTCAAGAGAAACTTCGCAGGCCAGAAAGGACGGACATGATATATTCAAAGTGTTGAAAGGGAAAACTCTGGCCAAGAATACCCTATGCAGCAGGGCTATCACTCAGGATAGGAGAGAGAAAGATTTTCTCAGAGAAACAAAAGCGAAAGGAGTTCATGACACTAAACCAATCCCACAAAAAAATGTTAAAGGGACTCTGAATGGAAAAATCGTAAGTAAGAGTATGAAAAGCAGGAAACAAAAAAGCAGTAACAATAAGCATATCTGTAAAAATGAGCCAAAGGAGGGCTCCCGGGTGGCTCAATGGTTGACCTTCTGCTTTTGGCTCAGGTCATGATCCCGGGGTCCTGGGATCGAGTCCCACACCAGGATCCTTGCAGGGAGCCTGCTTCTCCCTCTGCCTGTGTCTCTGCTTCTCTATGTGTGTCTCTTGTGAATAAATAAATAAAGTCTTTAAAAAATAACGAGCCAAGGAATTTACAAAATAAAAGGATATAAAATATCATACAATGTACCTAAAATGTGAGGAGAATAGGGAGTGAGAGCAAAGAATGAGTTCAAACTTAAGTGACTGCTATATGCATAAGATAATATATACAAACCTAACGTGGCCACACATCAAAAACCAGTAACAGATATTCAAAGAATAAAGAGAAAGGTATCTAAGTATACCACTAAAGAAAGCCAGCAAACAATGAAAGAGAACAAGAGAAAAAAAGGCTCAGAGGAAAACTACAAAAACAACCACAAACAAGAAACAAAATAGCAACAAATACATATCTATCAATAATTACTTTGAATGTAAATGGACTAAATGCTCCAATCAAAAGACGTCAGGTGAAGGAAAGCATTAAAAAAACAAGACATATCCATATGGCGCCTCAAAGAGACTCATTTCAGACCTACGGACACCTGCACATTCAAAGTGAGGGGATGGAGAAACATTTATCATGTAAATGGATGCCAAAAGAGAGCCAGGTAGCAATACTTTACATTGGAAAAAATAGACTTTAAAACAAAGACGGTAACAAGAGACAAAGAAGGACACTATATAATAATAAAAAAGACAATTCAACAGGAAGGTATATATTTATGCACCCAACGTGGGAGCACCTAAATACAGAAACAGTTAATAACAAACAAACGAACCAATCAACAGTAATGCAATAATAGTAGGGGACTTTAACACCCCACTTCCATCAATAGACAGATAGTCCAAACAGGAAATCAACAAGAAAACAGTAACTTTGAAGGACACACTTGACCAGATGGATTTGACAGCTATATTCAGAACATTCTGTCCTAAAACAGCAGAACATACATTCTTTCCAATTGCACACAGAACTTCCTCCAGAATAGACACCACATACTGGGCCAAAAAAACAAGTCTCAACAAATTTAAAAAGATCAAAGTCATACCATGTATCTTTCCTGAACATGATGCTATGCAACTAGAAATGAATCACAAGAAAAATCTGGAAAGAACACAAATATGGGGAGGTTAAAAAACACACTACTAAAAAGTGAATGGGTCAACCAAGAAATCAAAGAATAAAAAATTACATCAAGAGAAAGGAAAATCAAAATGCAATGGTCCAAAATCTTTGGGATGTATCAAAAGTTGTTTTAAGAAAGAAGTTGATAGCAATACAGGCCCATCCCAGGATGTCTGGGTGGCTCAGCATCTGGGCAGCTGCCTTTGGCTCAGGGCGTGATCCTGGGATCCTGAGATGGAGTCTTACATCAGGCTCCCTGCATGGAGCCTGCTTCTCCCTCTGCATGTGTCTCTCTCCCCCTCTCTCTCCCTCTCTCTCTCTCTCTTTCTGTGTGTGTGTGTGTGTGTGTGTCATGAATAAATAAATAAATCTTAAAAAAAAAAATACAGGCCCATCCTAAGAAGCAAGAAAAATTTCAATAAACAACCTAACCTTACACCTCAAGGAGCTAGAAAAAGAAGAACAAACAAAACCCCAAATCAGCAGAAGGAAGAAAATAAAGTTAGAGAAGAGATGATTGATATAGAAACTAAAAAAGCACAATAGAACAGATCAGTGAAAACACCAGCCGGTTCTTTGAAAAGATCAACAAAATTGGTAAACCTCTAGCCAGACACATCCAAAAGGTAGGCGGGAGTTGGGGGGTGGGGGTGGGATTGAAATGAACAAAATAACTGATGAAAGAGGAGAAGTAACAAGCAACAACCACAGAAATACAAATGATTGTAAGAGAATATAATGAAAAATTATATGCCAATGATTAGGACAACCTAGAAGAAATGGATAAATTCCTAGAAACATAACCTACCAAACTGAAGTAACAAGCAAATTGAATCAGTAAGAAAAAAAAAAAAAAAAAACACTCCCAAAAAACAAAAGAAGTTCAGGGTCAGATAGCTTCACAAGTGAAAACCATATTCAAAGAATTACTGCAAAACAATAGAAGAGGAAGGAAAACTTTTAAATTCATTCTATGAAGCCAGTATTACCCTGATTTACCAAAGTCAGGTAAGACCAAAAAAAAAAAAGAACTACAGGCCAGTGTCTCTGATGTATATAGCTGCAAAAATCCTCAACAGCAAACCAAATCCAACAATACATGTAAAAAATCATTCACCATAATAAAGTGGGATTTATTCTAAGGATTCAAGGGTGATTCAATATTCATAAATCAATCAACATGGTACACCACATCAATAAGAGAAAGGATAAAAATTATGTGATCATTGCATTTGATGCAGGAAAAACATTTAACAAAGTATAACACATATTCATGATTAAAACCCTGAATACCACTGGGGAAAAACTGAGTGCTTTTCCTGTAAGGTCAGGAACAAGACAGAAATGTCCACTCTAACCACTTTTATTCAACATAGTAGAAGTCCTTGCCATAGCAATCAGACAAGAGAAAGAAATAAAAGGCATCCAAAGGTAGGGAAGTAATAAAACTTTCACTATTCGCAGATGACATGATACTACGTACGGAAAATGTGAAAGACTCCACCAAGAAACTACTGGAACTGATAAAAGAATTCAGGAAGATTGCAGGATACAAAGTTAATATATAGAAATTCACTGCATTTCCATACACTAATAATGAAGCATCAACATCTATTTGTGGCTTATTTGCCCTGCAGCAGTTCACCTGCCTTTCCTTCTCCCATCCTTTTTCTGGATACGCCGCAGGAGGATCCGTGCCGGAAACAAGCCTCTGAAATACAGAAATGTTTCCAAGCCAACAACTACGTGGAACCTAAGTGTCAGGCTGTCATGCAAGAACCGCCTCAGTGTTGTGCTCGCTACCCTAAAGGAAGATCTCTCATCTGTTCGGGATTTGAGAAAGAAGAGGAAGAAAAGCTAACACTGAAGCTGACATCGAAGTAAAGTTCTGCTGAGAAGGTAAATGCTGCACCATGTATCTACCAGGCAAGTTCTGTCTTCCTGACTCTTTCTTCAGGCCAGGTAGCAGCAAATAGCAAATAAAAAAGGCAACTATAAAAGCCCATGAATATGCCATCTATGCAGAACAGATAGAAATACAAATACATTAAATATCTGAGCTGCTAAAATAAATCTGTTAAGTGAAAAAAAAAAGAGAAAAAGAAATTAAGAAAACAATCCCATTTGCAATTGCATCAAAAATAATAAAATACCTAGGAATAAGCCTAACCACAGAGGTAAAAAACCTGTACTCCAAAAACTATGAAACATTGAGGAAAGAAATTAAAAATGGTGCAATGAAATGGAAAGACAGCCCCTGCTCATGGGTTGAAAGAACAAATATTGTTAAAATGTCTACACTATGCAAAGCAATCTACACATTTAGTGCACTCCTTATCAAAAGACCAATAGCATTTTTCACAGAACTAGAACAAACAATCATAAAATTTATATAGAACCAAAGACCCCAAATAGTCAAAGCTATCTTGAAAAAGAAAAACAAAAGGTGGAGCTATCACAGGGTGCCTGGAGTTAAGCATCTGCTTTTGGCTCAGGTCATGAGCTCGAAGTCATGAGATGCAGCCCCACGTCAGGCTCCCTGCTCAGTGGGGAGTCTGTTTCTCCCTCAGCCCCTCTCCTTGCTCATGTGCATGTTTTCTGTCTCAAATAAATAAATAAAATCTGAAAAAAAAAATGGAGGTATCACAATCCCAGACTTCTATTACTAGGGACTCCTGGGTGGCTGTGTGGCTGAGTGTCTGCCTTTGGTTCAGGCTGTGATCCTGGGGTCCTGGGATCGAGTCCTGCATCGGGTTCCCCTGCCTGTGTCTCTGCTTCTCTCTCTGTGTCTCTCATGAAAAAATAAATAGCATCTTTAAGAAAACCAAAACCCTAGATTTAAACACCAAAAGGACTAGATGTTATTCTGTATGTTGGCAAATCGAACACCAATAAAAAATACATTTATTATTTAAAAAAAAAAAAAACACCAAAAGGATTTAAATCTTGGGTCCCCTCCCTCTTCGGGAGCTTTGCACTATCCCTAGCTTTGCACTAGCTTTGTACTTTGTACTAATAAATTTGCTGCCCACCACTCTGCGTGGTCTACCTCTTTATTCTTAGAATCAGTGTGACCAAGAACCTTGGACACTAAAGGAAAAGAAAAAACCCTGCAACACTAACATTTCTAAGGGGAGAAAGACAATTTAAGAGAAGGACGGTCAGGAGACCGTGTCTGCCGTGCTGTACAGACAAGGGGACACTGAGAGGAATTTAACCACCAAGCCGTGCGGGGAGCTTCCCCAGCCTCCACACCTAGGCCCCCCTCTTTATAGTCCTCGGGTGATAGTTCTCCTCCTAAAGCAGGCCCTCTACCTAAATGTGTTTACGCAGCTAATGGGGAAGAAAAGCTCTTCCTGAGTCTTTTGGACCCTGAGGGACTTCAGCTCCCAAGTCATCCACACACCAAAGTGGCACATTGGGGAGAGGCTCATTCCCTTTTGTTTCGCGATAGTAAAACTCCTTCTGCCAGGGTAAGAAGTTTTCAAGATAACCAGCCATCCACGAAACTGAGTGTCCCAGTGGCTTAGAATTTTAGTGACTGGATAAGTCCTCAAATATACAGAGCAAAATTTTATGACTAATAAAGCATTTGGCTGTCCTGTACTTAGCTAAGTTGAATGATCCAAACTTGGAAAAAAAAAATATCTGAGTCATAAAATTTTATTTTATCCAAAACCAGAAATATGGAAAATAAGGAAGAGAATTAGAGATTTTATTATGAAATGCTGCCTCTGTGGTTTTTGTATTTTAAGGATTTTCCCAAAAGTGACCTCTTGGGATGACTTGCCTTAATCCCATAACACATATGTAAGCCACTTCGAGGAATAAAAAAATAAAAAATAAATAAATAATTAAAATAAATAAAATAAAATAAAAATAAATAAAATTTAAAAAATAAAATAAAAATAAAATAATCAAAAGGAATAAAAAATCTGATAAATTTTTAAAATCTGTTTTCATTAAAAGAAGCCCTTGTTTTAAAAAAATATATATGAAGAATTATAATCCTGAGTTTTAACTCTCACAGTTGAGAATGTCTAGGCACTGAGGCCTAAGAAGACATTACTCTGAGCACTGAGAGAAGACGTAGAATTGTTGAATCACTATGTGGTACACCTGCAACTAATATAACACTATGTATTAATTCTGTTGGAGTTAAAATATAAATAAATAGGGGGTCCCTGGGTAGCTCAGCGGTTGGGCGCCTGCCTTCGGCCCAGGGTGTGATTCTGGAGTCCCGGGATCGAGTCCCATGTTGGGCTCCCTGCATGGAGCCTGCTTCTCCCTCTGCCTGTGTCTCTGCCTCTCTCTGTCTCTCATGAATAAATAAATAAAACATCTTTTTTAAAAAATAATTAATTAAATAATAAATACGCAAAAACTCCACAAAATAAATAAATAAATAAATAAATAAATAAATAAATAAATAAATTAGCAAAAAATCCACAAAAACCAAAAAACAAACAAGAAAAGGAAACAAAGGGGCCCGGATGGCTCAGTTGGTTGAGCGTCTGGCTCCTGACTTCAGCTCACATCCTGATTTCGCAGTCATGGGACTGAGCCTCACATGAGGCTCTGTGCTCAGTGCGGACTCTGCTTCAGATTCTTTCTCCCTCTCCCTCTTCCTTCCCCTCTGTTCCTCCTCGCTTGTGCCCCCCTGCTCTAAAATAAATAAATAAAATCTTAAAAAAATAAAAAAAGAAGAAGAAAAGAAAAGAAGGTACGACTTTGGGAGAACTATCCACATGTAGTTTAGCAACACTAGAGCATGGTATGAATTAAGGAACAGTAAGAAAAAAAAAAACTGGGCAGGACAGATGGACAAAGGCCAGATCAAAAGACTTTATCCTGAAGGTCATGGGAGGCAATGAAAAACTATAAGCAGGCAGATGATCTAATCAGATTTATATTATTGGAAGGTCCCTCAAGTGGTAACAGACAGAAAGGGTAAGCCTGGTGGGCAAGAGACTATTAAAAAGAATTTTACAGTGTTTCAAGTGATAAATGATTAAACCAAAAAAAAAAAAAAAAAAAGGAAAAAGATTAAAGCCTAAAGGAAGACAGTGGTAGGGAGAGTGGAGATGACATAGATACTAGAGTTATTTAGGGTGTGTGACTAATAGGACTTCGGGCCTGGTTGCATGTGATTGGAGGTGAGATAGGAAGAAAGGCTGAGAAATGATTCAGGGATGATTTCTAGGCTTCTGACCTGAGTATCTGGGGGATTATAGTCCTATAAACAGAGTACATATGTTCTGGAGTGGTTGAAGGAAAACATAATGAATTCAATTTTGTGTGTATCGAGTTGTGTTGTTTGTGCAGTAACAAATGAAAATGTCTAAGACACATCTGGGTATTTGGATATATGGAAGCATAAGAAAGAAATCTATATGCAATCAGCTGGTCCATATGAGTTGTAGAACCTGAGCTGGTGTAACACTCTAATTTATAGTAAGAGACATCTATTTGGGTTTTGTCCCAGTTCTGGCACACAGCTTCTAAAACCCTCGGAATTTCCTACGCGTTGAGAGCAATAATAGTGTTTTTTGTTGTGTTAACAAGGTGACTTTTGGAAAGCACCTAAAGATAAGGCTGGTTGCCCCAAGAACCAACCATGTGATTAGAGAGTTAGAAATTTCAGTTCCACCCCTGCCGCCAACCTCCCGGAGATGAGCGAGGCTGGAGGTTAAGAATAATTAAAGTATTATTGGAATAACCCCATCAATGTGTTCTTTTCCCACGAATTCCCCTAAATAATTTGTTGGAATATCAACACTGAAATATTACCTACCCCCTTTCTCAGCATCCTTGAAATGCAAGACAAGCTTTCTAACCACAGAACTGTTAGGAAATTCAACTGACACAAATATGAAATTTAACATTAACCCTGGGCTGCTGCACACAGAGAACAAACCTCCATCTCCATTTCCTTATAAGCATGTATATAATGCAGGAGAGTCAGAAGAAAGGCAGGTAGGGACAGGGGGCTCCCACCCTAAGAGGAAAGCACCCTTAAAAGGATTGTACACCGCCCTGGAAGAAGCCGTCCACTCTTTCCCACGTGATGACAGAAACCTGACGGGTTGAAAGGCACAAGGAGGGTTAATCAGAATAAAACAGCCCCAACAACAAGCCCATAAAACTCCTTGACTTAGAAACTCTGGTGGCAACCCTCGTGGGTCCCTTCCCTCTTCGGGAGCTTTGTAGGATCACGCAATAAACTTTGCTTTACTATCGCTCAATGGATTTTGCATTGCTGCCCACCGCTCTTTGCCTGGTCTGCTTCTTCACCCTTTGAAGTGGTGTGACCAAGAACCGTGGGCGAAAAGGAATCCTGCAAAACACAGACAATTCACTCAGAGGCTCCAGGCTGTGTGTCAGGCCTAATGAGGTAGCTATTCATGGTTTTTAAGAATGTTCCAAAAAAGAAAAGAATTTGTTTTGGAGCCTTTGCAAAAACCCTGGTCCAGGACAATGGGGGATTGGATCCTCAAAGCCACACTTTGTGATAGAAGAAGAGCCTGTCGGTGGGTCAGAAATCCTAGGCCCATCTAGGGATTCCAGCTCTGACTTTACTTACCCCAGACGCAGGTGTACAAACAACAGGACTCATTGGTTTTAAAGCCTCTACCCTCATTTATCATTTCTTCGTGCGCCCTCCATCAAAAGGGACAATGGGGACTAAAAATAATCTAAACACTCAGGAATATAAATCAAATTATTCCCTTCACAATCTCTCACTTTCTGAACTACTGGTGATCCCAGGATTTGGTCTGTGCTTAATGAAGAAGAAATAAAGAACAGCCTCATTGGGGCTGTTCCTGCCATTTCTTGTTTATCTTTTAACTGGCAGTGGCCTTCCTTACAGACATCTGACTAAA